TTTGATGAATGAAAACCCCTTGATCAGTTTGTAGTATTCCCATGCCCAAGAAGTGATGAAGGAGTCCAAGGTCTGACATTTCATATCTCTGCATCATCTCCCTTTTAAACTCAGCAAGCATCCTCTCACTGTTTCCAGTATAAACAATGTCATCAACATAGATTGAGACAATGATTAAACCTCCTTCATTATCAGATCTAGTGTACAGAGTAGCTTCACTAATGCTTCTTTTGAACTTGCACATAGATAAATATGCATCAATCTCACTGTACCAGGCTCTAGGAGCCTGCTTAAGTCCATACAAGGCTTTTTTCAGCTTGTAAACCTTGTGACTTGCATTTTTCAGTTCAAAACCCTCAGGCTGCTCTACATATACTTCCTCATCAAGCACACCATTTAGGAATGCTGACTTGACATCTAACTGAAACAACTTCCACCCCTTTTGTGCTGCAAGAGCAATGAGAGTTCGAATTGTGTCTAACCTTGCAACTGGTGCAAAGGTTTCATTGTAGTCAATTCCAGGTTTCTGTGCATACCCTTTTGCTACAAGTCTGGCCTTATGTTTTTGAACTGTTCCATCCAAATTAAGCTTGGTTTTAAACACCCACTTCACACCTATAACAGGTTTATCTGCTGGTCTCTCAACCAATTCCCAGGTATTGTTCTTCTCTATCATTTCCAACTCAGCATTCATAGCTTCTTGCCAAGCTAAATCACCAGCTGCTTCTTGATAGTTCTCTGGTTCAATGATGCACATGTGGCATCTTGCATATATGTCCTCCAGAGTTCTCAACTTCACTGGAGTAGAGCTAGGTGTAGAAGCTTGACTGTTATTTCCTACTGAAACACCAACAGTTGAGTTTGAGTGAGAGCTGCCACCATTATCAACCTGAGTTGTTTCAGTTTGTTCTTCACCAAATTCAGTTTCTATTTCATTTCCTCCAAGGTTGAATGGTATTGGAACAGATTCCTCTTGATCACTCTTCCAATTCCATGCCTTGTCCTCATTGAAAATTACACTCCTTGAGAGCACAATTTTCTTAGACTGCAAGTCATACACTCTGTAACCCTTTTCACAGCTTCCATATCCCATAAAAACTCCCTTTCTAGCCTTGTCATCAAACTTCTGCCTCAAGGGTGATGGAACATGAGTATAACAGATACAACCAAACACTTTCAGATGCTTGATACCTGACTTTCTTCCTGTGAATGCTTCAAATGGTGTTTTACTTAGCACAGATGTTGTAAAACATTTGTTTTGGAGATACACAGCTGTACTTATAGCTTCTGCCCAAAAAATCACAGGGATTCCTTTCTCTGTCATCATGGATCTTGCCATCTCACGTATTGTTTTATTTCTCCTCTTAGCAACTCCATTTTGCTGAGGAGAGTAGGCAATGGTAATTGCCTCTTCATTCCCATGCTTGCACAGAATTCTTGAAACTCATGTGAGGTATATTCACCACCTCTATCACTCCTTAGTTTTTTCAAACTAAATCCACTTTGCAATTCAACAAAGGCTTTGAATTTCTTGAACACATTAAAGGTATCAGATTTGTTTCTGAGAAAGTATACCCAGCACATTCTTGAAAAATCATCAATGAATGTGATGAAGTACCTATTTCCACCAATTGACTCATTTTGCATTGGTCCACACAAGTCTGTGTGCACTAATTCCAGTGGACAGCTTGCTCTCCATGCTCCCTCTTTGTCAAACTTCTCTCTGTGATGTTTTCCTGAAACACAACCTTCACACACATCTTTCATTTCGGTTAACACAGGTATTCCATCCTCCATTTCCATCTGCTGCATTTTTTTCATGCTAACAAAATTCAAATGTCCAAGTCTTCTATGCCAGATCCAAGAATCTTCAATCACTGATGCTTTTCTAGCTGCAGGTGTCATAGATTCTAGTGAGAGAGGGAAGCATCTATTTCCTCCCATGACCACTTTAGCTACAACATTGTTGAGGCTGTCATCATCAAAAATAACTGTCATGTTACCCCCAAATAGGACATAATAACCATGCTCCATCATTTGGCCTACACTCAATAGATTCTCATCCAAGCCCGGAACAAGCAACACTTCATGTATATACCTTTTCCCATGTTGAGTTTCAACTACTAGAGTGCCTTTTCCAGTTGCTTGTACAAGATCTCCAGTGCCCATTTTAACTTTGCAAGTCACAGTCCTGTCAATGTTTATTAACACAGACTCTTGAGAAGTCATGTGGTTGCTGCAGGCGCTGTCCACAAACCATACACTTCCATTTTTCACACTTGCAGAGTGGCAAGCATAGAACATGGTGCCTGTGATTACCTCTTCCTCCTTTGCACAGTTAGCCACCTGCTTGTTGCCTTCACAGTCTTTTGCAGTATGACCAAACCTATTACATTTTCCACATCTAGGTTTGCCTTTGTGCCTGCACACACCAAAATGATACTTTTGACAGACTTGGCATTGTGGTTTCACACTTCCTTGACTGCTGCTACCTTGCTTGTTCTGAGAATTAAAACTATTGTTCCAATTTCCTCCAGCATTGTTATTCCAGCTTGAGCCATTGTTATTTTGAGACCAATTTGATCCCTTTTTGTCTTGTCCCTGCCACTTTTGATTTGGTCTACTCTGTGAGCCCTTATTAGAGCCATGAACTTGGTTATTTCCAACCTTGAGGCTACTAAAAGCTTTCTCAGTTCCAGCCACTTTATCTCTTTCATCATGCAGGTCTTCCCTTTTATCATAAACTTTGACAGATGCAATAACTTCTTCAACTCTAAGAACATCAAGATCTCGAGTTTCTTCAATGATAGACACAATGGATTTATATTTTCTACTTAGACTCATCAAAAGTTCTTGCACAATTCTTGTTTCAGTCACATCTTCACCAAGAGATTTCAGATTATTCACAGTTCCAAAAAATCTAGCCAAATAGCTATCTAAGCTTTCACCATCAGTCATTCTCATATACTCAAAATCTGCTCTAACAGCTTGAAGTTTTACAGCTCTTACCTTTTTATCTCCTCTGAACTCTCTCCTCAAGACATCCCAAGCTCCTTTTGCAGTCTTTTCATTTCTGATGCGAGGGAAGAGCTCATCAGTTAAGGCTCCTTGAATGAGACTCAGTGCCTTGGCATTTTTGATTATGTCTTCTCTGGAGATAGTAGGTGCTTTCGCTGGAATTTGCTCAGCTTCACTTCCTTCACCTCCAGAGTCTTCTTCCTCCTCAATAACTGGCTGAGGTTTTACTCTGACCTCAACTACATCCCATAGATCATGTGCTATGAGGATGGTCTCCATTTTGACAGCCCAAAAATCATAGTTTGCACCATCAAACTGTGGAGTTCGTAGATCTCCACCTGAAGAACCTGATCCCACCATTTTCCTAGTGAGTCTTAGTGAACCAAA